ATCAGCCACTTCAAAATCTCTGTCAGCCACCCTTCATCTGGTACACCTGATGTGAAGCATGTTAGGGAATGATGATCTTAGCTCTTCATAACAATGATGAGAGGAAATCTTGTTATAATTTTTTGGCCAGGTAATCTGGTGCAAAACTATTCAGACATTTAAAAACCAAAACTCCTAATTAAGAACAGAATTCTTATTTTATCGCAGCCAGTGCAGCGATCGTAATATGGGAGAAACATGATAGAATTTTCTTCCCCCAGCATTGCCGCTTTGCCATTTTGTTTTGAATAATCTGTAGTTTGTTTAGCTGTTTAGCAGAAACTGTTACAGTAGTCTAACTTGGCTGTAATGAATGCCTATACTAATAACGTTGTTCCATTTTTGTCAAAACAAATTTGAAGCAGCGTCAAAAAATTCTATTTCTTTTCCTTTTCCACCCAAATTAGTTGAATTTTTGTCTATTCGTGACACACAAGCAAAAACTGAGTTTCGTCTGATTGAGTTTGAATCTGTTTCTTCCCATCCATCTATCTCATCCATCCATCCATCCATCCATTCATCCATCTATCCATCCATCCATCCATCCATCCATCCATCCATCCATCTATCCACCCATCCACCCACCCATCCAGCCATCCATCCATCCATCCATCAACCTCTTGAATACATCAACAAGTTACACCAAATCGTTTGTAAATTAGTCAAGTCTAATTAACCTCAAAATGAAATCAAATTACCATTAAAATTTTATAAAAAAAATTGAACAATTCCCTAAATAACATCAAAAAAATGATTTTTTATTCACATCAAATATCACAAAAAAAAACTGAAAATGGAAGCGAAACAAAGGAACAACGGCAGGGAATAAATAGCCAGAAAAATGTAGAGCGCGCTCGTCACGTTAGTTAAGAGCGATAAATTTGCCGTCCCAATAATTAGACGCATGTATCATTTCTCTCCTCAGCTAATTTAGGGCGCCTGGCACTAACATGTAATTTGTATTGCACACGTACCGCCCGCTCAGCTGACTTGTTTATTAGATTAGTCCGCAAGATGAGTTAAGTTTGGCCAGAGACTATCATCATCGTCGTCGTCGTCGTCTTCATCATCATCCTCATCCTCATCATCATCATCATCATCATCATCCTCATCATCATCATCATCATCATCATCATCATCATCTTCTTCATCATCATCATCCTCATCATCATCATCATCATCATCATCATCATCTTCTTCATCATCATCATCATCATTATCCTACTACTACTACTACCTACTACTACTACTACTACTACCTACTACTACTACTACTACTACTACTACTACTACTACTACTACTACTATTACTACTACTACTACTGCTGCCGCTGCTGCTGCTGATGATGAGGATGATGATGATAATGATGATGTGATGACGATGATAGTAATAATAGTAATGATGATGATAATAATATAATAATAATAATTATTAACATCATTAACATTGACTTTTTTAATTTATTTTGTGTCAGGCTGTTTTTAAACTCAGTATCAAATACCAGTCATCTTAAAACATCACCATCATCGTTAAAAAAAGAATTTTTAAGTGTGCGTGTGTGTGTTGTGTGTGTGTGCGAGTGTGTGTTGTGTGTGTGTGCGAGTGTGTGTGTCAGGTTCTTTGTGAACTTGTGTTGAAAAATCATTAATATTTTTACAATTAATTTGTAGCTAAAAATTTAACTTGAAACGCAATGTTTAAAAATTGAAAATCGAATGCCATCAATATTTCGCGGAAGGAAGAGGAGCTCTGTGGAGAGTTTTAAAAAATGAATTGTCCAATCAGAATTTACTGATTGTGTCATTACTTAAAGCCCCCTACCCATAACGCTTCATTGATGATTCAAAAAAGCCTGCCTCATCAAAATAATATTCCGACAATTTAAGGAAATAATTTTGAGGCGTCAGTAAGTTAACAACAATAATTAATTTTTCAGTGATTACGGATGGATATTTTCCTCAGAAACCCCTGCTGCTGTTGCTGTGATTGAGTTCCGCTTAATCATTTAATCATTTATTTATTTATTAAATTATTTATTTAATTAATTATTTTTTTATTTAATTATTTATTTATTTATGTATTCGTATGCACGTGTCTCTGTTTTAATTTGTTTGAGATTACTCTAATTAAAAGTAATGATGACGACGATGATGATGATGATAATAATAATGATGATGATAACGATATTATTAATTTTAAAGACGATGATGATGATTATGGTGGCGATGATGACGATGATGTGTCAGCAATATGCCAGCATCAACGATTGCAACAGTGATGATGGTGACAATGAGTCGCATGGTGAACTCAACAATATTTATTCTTCGCGAAATTTTAATTCATTTGAGCAGTAAATTTCAGCAAGGAGAAACATTTATTTCATTTCAATTTTGCATCAATCCTTCAATTATTTCATAATTAAATTATTATGAATAAAATTATCTAAGTGAAGTGTCTTAAAGATTTTTTTGTATTTTTATAACTTAAATTATTTTTTTAATAATTTATTTTTCTTTTTAAATAATTTGCTAGCAACTTCCATGAGAGCAATTAAGAGTTTCTCACTGTTTCCACCTCATCGACTCACGATACGCCATCCAAATTGAGTTAGCTGGAAGGTAAACCAATTTTTAAAGCGTTCAATTCCTTTTAACTCAATATACTTTCTCTCTAAATGTTCTCAACTTACTGCTTCTCATTTCATGAGTTTGTAATTAGTTGCTCTGTCGCCAGTCAGCACGTACTAGCGCAAATATGTAACAACACATCGACGTCTCGAGACAAATAAGCAACAACACATCAACGTCTCGAGACAAATAATTGGGCTTAATAAAACATCACAGCTCTCAAGAAATTCGCTACTTTTCAGCAACACTCAACACGTTAAAAACATCAGCAGCTTTCCTGGACAAAAACAAATTATTTTCTGCCAACCTCAGTTGTTGGACTTTTATTATTTTTGTTTTTGCATCAGCAAGTTGACATAAAAAAATTGATAGCAACGTTTATTTAGGAAAGGTCCTGTTGTTTTTAAAAGTTTGAAAACAAACTTGAGAAGATGTAAAGTTAATTCGCAGATAAAAAAAAACCTAGAACATCAATACAAAAACCAATGTCAGCAACCCATGGCATCAAGGAAACTAGTTAGGTGGCATTAAACAGCTGTGACAGGACGAATATCAGATCGATATTAAGCATTGTTGCTCTATCTCCATTCTTGAAAAGCTATTTTTTTTAGCCAAGTGCTATACGCCAACGTTAATATTATCAAAATAAATTAATGTCATCGTCACATGACTATATTATCGAGACACATTAATGTTACTTTCTTCATAGGCCCAAAGCCTGTTTTACATTTAATGTTATGGGAATGTTTCGTGATGCAGTAAATAATTACATTGAAAGCACTAGCTTCCTTATTGCGATGGCGTCTCTTTCAACCAGTTTTTAAAAAGTGCTCTATAATATTTTCCATTCCAATCTTCCATATTTTTTTATTTTATTCAACGTTTTCAAGCAGCAACAACATTTGCTGTTCAATAAAATAGAAATTGATTTTTAAACAATTTTAATTTGTTCATCAAGACAATTTATTCCTTTGTGACATTTGTGAGAAGCACATAAATAATTTATTAAATGGATGTTTGTTAGGTAGAAGATATTTATTTGTTGCTGAGAATTTTTCATCAACATTCGTGCCAGATTTCACTGAACAACCAAACCACAAAATGAATTATAGCAACTGGTCGGTGAAATATTTCGCATTTTGGTCCCTACCATCCATGAAATGCCGACTGAAAGCAAACAGGTTGAAAACATGGACGTCAAAGAAGCTGCGTGACAAACACACGTGCATAACGACAAACACATGTGTACAGTTTTGAAAGAATGGCATTTTGCTTCGAAAAATTTTTCTCAGGGTCGGTCGCTGAAATTTTTACAACATTTTAAATTTTATTTTAATATAGAAATGTTTAGGTTTTCCGATTTGAAAGGTTTCAATTAAAATTAAGTGAAGATTTAAAATTACAAACGTCATATGCTTTATTTAAACATTCAAACTTGTTATTTGCTGTAAGATTTCTTTTTTGCATTTTATTCGCTTGATTTTCATTTCTGTTTCTATTCTTTGTTGAAATTATTTTTACAATGATCCGGTTATATTTGGTGTTTTTTTTTATTCTGCCAACATTTGTTTCTGCATTTTCAAGTTTTTGTTTGACTTTGTTTTCCTTATTAATCCACCTTCTCGGGTGTCGTGTTTTTCTTTCACGTGTCAGAAATGTGAACACGTCGGCAACTTTTGTTTGTTTTTGTTCAATTTTTCTGAATAATAATTATCATATCAATCATTTTTCATTGAACTATTTTTGTTGAATTTAACCAGTTGTATTATTGTGAATATTTTTAAAACTAGACTGTTTGGGTTTAATGTGAATGTTAAAATAAACTTCTTCAACATAACGACACTTGAACTAGTCAGTCATCATAATACTTCAACTTCGTCATGAGATGGATGGGAGGTCTGACATAGAACTGAGTGAGGAAAGATGGTGAGCAAGTAGGTTTCTGCGTGCCAAAAAAAAACAATAAAATTGCAGTTGTAACAAATTGCACAAATTTAAAAATTAACCAACATAAATTTTAAAATTAACCAGCACAAATTTAAAAAATTCAACAGAAATAAAAAAATCGAACTAAGACCTCTTAGCTGACAAAAGATAATGTAATTTGAAATTAATCAACAAAAGAAAATAAAGTTGATAGCATCAAGTTTCTGTGGCTTTAATTTTTTTTTCATTCTTCAAATTACATTGATAAACTGTATAAACTTTTCATCACATTTGTGAATTTCAAAACGTATGTAATTATATAATTTGCGAGTTTCAAAAATACAAGTCTCAAGTTAGGTGGATAAAATGTATCCATAAATTTCACATACATTTTAATATAAATATTATTATGTAGTTGGGTGCAGTCGACCCTGTGTTATGTGAACGGTGTGTGTGTGTGTGTGACGGTTTTCTGCTCGTAACGTGTTTTCCGAACGAACTTCATAGGTTTGAGTTTCGATCCTGTCTTGGGGAAATTCTTGAAACTCGCCTGACTTAAAGTTTATTTGTTTGAAATGTTCGTGTATTGCAGATAATTATTTAATAGGCAATCATAGTCGGGAACATGTTTGTTGGTTTCCAATACAAATGATAAATTGAATCAAAATCTTAATTATACACGTAAGTTATTGAACGTAAGAATAAAATAGAATGAACCGTTAATTTCTAAGCCCTGCGTGCTAAGTATTAACGTATGTTTTAAGTGTAAGTCCTAAAATAAAAGCCAAGTGTTCGAACATAACGATAGTGTTTGCAAAGCGTTCTAGCAGCCTATTGAAAGGGTGCTCCTGAAAACGTAGTTCGTGTTGTTCTATCTTGCATTCCGCAGCGCTTGCTCGTCTGCAGCTCGTGACATTCGATGCCAAAGTTTAAATTCTTATGCTAAATGCATCTAGCCATAAACTACTTTAGAAGTTAACATTATCATTACTTAATTATTTTCTATCTTAACTTATGACTTACATAATATCCCTCACTTTAAAACTTTTAATTTGTTCTCAAATTAGCCCAAAAAGAAAAATGATCTTGAGTTAGTGTAAAAAAATAAAACACGTAAAATGCTAAAGCAAAATGAAAATGTAGATGCGAGCACAAATGAAAGGGTATGCTCTCTAAATGCAAACGCATGTGTTGTATTAAATGTAAATCTAAACCAATAGAAAAAATTTTGCTCCCCGAATTAATCAAAATAAATAGATATAAAATATAGATATATAATTAGTAGAATCAACGCTAAAAAATGCAATAAAATTAACTGTCAAATTATTTATATTTTCAAAGCAAAAGTGAATGAATTACAAACAATGTGGCAAGTTAAAACGATAAAAATAATTGTTGTTAATTAAAGAAACAAGTAGTAATTGAAAGTGAGAAAAAGAAAACTTTTAATAAAAAAAATGATAGTTTGGAGAGGATAGGGTGGCGTGAAGAGACTTCAGAGCGTCCGATGTATGGTCGCAACTCCATCCTACGCTTCAATCTGCGGTCGGCTGTCGTTTCCACGTCCGGCGACTTTGGCAGTTGCTGTCCATGAAACCAGTTGTCTATTGCCTCTGCATGAAGAATTTTTTCCGATTGCGTGCGTTTTTTTCCAGCTGCTTGACCTGCTGAGGTGTGGAAGGTGGAATGTTACATTGGTAAACACCGATGGTGTCGGGACGTGTAAGTTTCGGAGGGGATCGGTTCTGTGGGGTCTGGAATTTTTCTAGCGATAGTTTTTCCGCAAAGTTATTAGCGATCGGACAGTTAAGAAGGTCGAATGGAAGAGGTGTCGGTGGTAGAGCAATGTAGTGAGGTAATTGATAAAAATAATCTGTAAATTCTATTGTTTATTTTCAATGCTTTCCATTGTTCGTCAAAAATTTTTCTTTCAAGACTTAAGTGGAAAAGTTCGATTGATCTCGCGAGAGTATAAGGACGAACTAAAAAAAGGGTTGGGTAGATGGATGGACAAACCAGCAGTAAATAATTGAAAGAATCTTGGTAGATTATTAATTTCTAACCTGTGTGGTGAAACTTGTATCGGTATCGGGAAGGAAATGATATCATACAATATGAATTTCGTGACGTATGTTGTCAAAGGGATGTGAATGAAGAAATATAAATCAGAATCAACGCGTGTCGTTGTTGCCGATTCTGGAAATCTGCCGATGTCGATATTCAGAATCTGCATGTTGAAACTCAAAATTGTTAAATCTTTGGAAACGTTTGTTAAAAATTCACGCAACTGAGTTGATGGAACAAAATAAATACCAGGATAACCTTTTTTGTATGCTGCCTGTATTTGCCGGTTGTAAAATTTATTAATTATAATTATTATTATTATTTATTATTATTTATTATTATTATTATTATTTGTAAAATGGTTGATAGCTATGAAATCTTCATTGTTTTTCATTAAAAGAGATTGTCCATTTTTGTTAGTCTTCATGTTAGATTCGAAAAACTTTTTCGTTAGTTATAGTCTTCTTCTGTGGAAGTGCCAAATAAAAATGTGCTCAGTTTACCGACTGCATTAGCTAGGCCACGTTTAAGACGAGGAGTTGGTAAAGACTTTTTATCAGGTAGTATAAAACTAAATTTACTAGCAAAGTTTAACTACTGCTTATGGTATAATTCAAAAATAGAATTCAAAGATTGAACAAATTGAGCAGTTAAATTTGTAGTTTGAGATTTGGTATCCGCGCCAGTTCAATGGATTTAACTACCGCCGGTGATTGGGTTATATGAGTGGCAGTGTGAAATTTCACTCCGTGTTCCAAATATTCCACATCAGGGTATGCTGCGATGCTTGCGACAAATGACTAAAAGTTGATAGCAATCGAGGATCTGTAAAATATATTTGCTGCTTGTTTTGATCGTGTTGCCTGAAGGAGATATAACTTATCCTCAAGGATTGTATTGTATACTGATCTGCTGTTTCGAAAAGTTTCTTCCTCTGCTTATCGTCATCTGGAAGATTTTTGATAAGATAATCAATAATATTACTGAAATTATGATCTTGTTTTTAATCTTGCATGATATCTGTAGAAGAGATGTGAAACTGGATGGTGTTGACTGTCTTCTTCCTTGTTTCCAGTGTTGTCGTCTGAACTGCTGGTGTCATCTGAGTTGATAATCAACAACATATTTTCAAAATTTTCAAAGTGTGTGTCTGCATCTTCAGTCTGTTGACAGGGCATCTGTACTCTTGACAGTGTATTTGCTGCGATGTTCTGTTTACTTCTAACATGTGCAATATCATATGAAAAATTTTGCATAAATGTTGCCCATCTAAGTAGTCTGCCTTTTTGAAAATTTTAAAGTATTAATAAATTTTTAAAAAATGTGATCTCACTGTAGAATGATTCTTTTTAAAATAATTAAAATGTGGTCTGCACCTTTCTAAAACTGTTAGACATTCCAATTCTGTTACTGTCCAGATATTCTCTGCTTGTTTCAACGTACAATCTTCAAATGCGTCTAATCATACCTTTGTAAAATATGTGATATAGCAACTGTGGACGCATGTGTGTTTAAAATAAATGGTTTGGTTGTGTCAAGATATTTCAGGGTTGGAGTTTGCGAAATCATCTTTCAACTCTTCGAATGCTGACTGACAATCTCTTGTCAATTCAAATGTTTGATCTTTTTCTTGTAAATTAAATAGCGGTGCTGCAATGCTAAAAAAATTATGAATAAGACGTCTATAAAATTGTGCTAAGCCAATGAATGAACATTACGATTTTAAGTTTGTTGGTACAGGAAAATTTTTGATCAATTTAATTTTATTAGGATCTGTTTCTAAACCTTCATCTGGGATCTAATAACCTAAATATAACACTCTTTTGCAAATCGGCATTTTTCGGATGTAGTTTTAGATTGACGTTACGGAAACGTTAAAATATTTCACTAAGATTCTTGTCGTGATCTTTCATCTGATTTGAAAAACAAATGATGTCATCTACGTACACTAAACATGTGATGTCAATCAAACGTTTCAAAACTGATTGAGTTAACAATTGAAATAAAAAACCCAGTTTATGTTCCACAGTTTAAACCTTTTGGTTTGTTTTCTTTTTGTTTGTGTTATGTTCTGGTAAATAAAAAGTATTTTTGATTTTGATTTTTATTATCATATTAAGGCCTAATTATGGACGCTTATGATAGCACTCACAATAACTTTTAAACAGGGACTCCGCAAGTGTGATAAGCATGCAGGTTTGTGTGGCGGACGGAGATACGAGCCAGAACAAAGAACCCTGACAAGCTTCATCAATGACACACACTCGATAAGTTGCTCGGTAAGTTACTAGTAAAAATCTTCAACGTCATAAAAATGCAGTTTAATTTCCACACTAGAAATCAGAATAAAATGTTTTCGTTACTAACTTTTTATACTGCTGCTCAATTACTATCTCAACCCAGAACTAAAGTTACTGTTTACCGTGCATAATTCTATGTAAATTTTAATTTTTTGTTATGGATTGGTCAAGGCGATACCATGCACTTAACATTAAATTTTTTTTTTCATACCACATCTTCTGTTTTTTTATACTGTTCTTTTAGCAAAAACATTCCAACTTTATATTTTTGTTACCCAACATTTCATCACGCTTATCATTTTCATGTCTTAATAACGTTAATATGAAGTAATGTTGTATGTTCATTTGTCATCGTTGTGGTGCTGGCTGTCATCGTCCTTTCTAGCATTCTGTGCTGCAACATCCGAATAATAATAATGCATAACTATTGCATTCTGATTACGAAGAGCTCAACGTACATTCGAGCAAGGTTTCCAGTAACCTATACAAATTATGATATTCATTACAGTAATAATATAATATTTATATTCAAATAATATTTGAATAATATAAACAAAAACAATTATAAAAATAAATAATATATATAAGAGCAGAAAATAATAAATAAATGATGAGAAATATATGAAATAATCAAATCCCACATATAAAATACAAGCGACGTAAACATCGCGTAGTCCTTATAACGCCGATGCGGATGCAGATGAATCAAAATTATGCCACCATTAGCGATATTGGAATAAAAATCTGACTGATAAATTTGTTAAAAATAAATAAAAAGACGAAAAATTGGAATCGTATAACTTCGGTGTGGCGTGAGTTGTGATTAAAAACATTTAAACAGGGTTTCCTATTGGTTGTACATCGTCTTATTTATTATTACTCACATTTCGACTGGAATAACAAAATTTGTTTTAATGGATATAGTTTAATATAAAAATAATAATAGTAATAAAATAAATAATAATATAATAATAAAAACGTTCAGAATGTTGTTGACAAGAATGTTGATGACGATGCAAATGTTTGTTGCCTGTGACACAATGGAAACATCACATCTCATGTGCTCACTTCTTTCAACGTTTTGCATGTTGTTCTTGAGTTGTAGATTGTTTTGTGTGTGTATGTTGTACGCTATGTTGGTACGTTGTGTGTATGTGTGTGTTTGTTGTTTTCATTATGTTGGTACGTTGTGTGTATTATTACACATTAAATTATGAACGTTATTGAAACTACGTTCTTGTTGTGACTGGATTTGTTTCTGAGATGTTTGAAAATGTTTTCTCATGCTGTTCAACGTTCACTAATGTTGAACTGTTTTGGGTAAGTTTTCCCCCCTCTAAATTTTCATCCCTATAAAAATATGCAGCGGAATAACATTTGATGTTCAACTGTTGCCTCACATAAGTTGGACGGCATGGTAATATAATTGTTAGAGGCACTTGAACCTGTTTTGGGTCGAAGCCTTTCTTTAATGAATAGTTTTTTTAGGGTGATATTTAATTCAACAAAAGTTTGTGTAAATTTCAACTAAAAATTGTTAGAGTTCTGCTTCTCACAAAAGCAAATGAATGCTGTATAAAAATTTAAAAAAAAGAAAAATACCGAATAAGCCGAAAAATGTCACCTACGTTTTTTTTATAAAAACAACTCCCACTAAAAAAACTTTTAGGTAAAGCCACCGTCTATATTTATTGCATGCAACGTGGAGGATGCATGTTTTTTAGGGGGTGCATGATTTCAGGAGGGAGTGCATGATTTCAAGAGGGAGTGCATGGTTTCTGAGGAGTGCATGGTTGCAGGTGGTGCATGGTTTCAGGTGTTATCACGTACGCTGGGAGTGGACATCTCTAAATATTGGAAAAGACTTTAATAAACCCCTTGAAGTGGTTTTTCTATTTTTGTCTTGTACTTTATGCTTTTTTCTAGTAATGGTGTTTTAAATTAATCATTTTAACATCATTCCTTCACGAAAATTAATTTGTTGTATATAATGGTAGCAGATTGTGTGCCATTGTGTAAATTTTTTCAGAATTTCGTATGTTACCGAAATGAAGGAGGTGTTAATGCAGTTCCTCGCTAACAAATTTTAGAACACAATGGCTGTCATAGATTTTTGTTTTTATATTAATTTATATTTCTTACAAAAAAATTTACCAAATTTTTAATTATATGAATTTATTACAAATGATGATTGAAATTATTAAAATGTAATTTAATTTTGAATATAGCCTAAATCAAAATTATTGACATATTAGTTTATGAACGATTTCTTAAATCAGCATTATTAAAAATAATACAAACTATTAAAAGTCTAAAAATCATGGTGAAAATATTCATAGAAAAAGATATTAATTTGCCGAAAGTCTCAATGAAGCAATCTAAGTAAAGAAATCTTTCAAATACATTTTATAAAAATTTGTGGCGCAATAATTTATGTTTCAAGACAACTCTCGAAATAGAGATTGAATGTTTTCGCCGGACAGAATATAGTACCATTTCCTGTGGGTTTTTTCAGTTCACTTCTCCACCAGAGATGTTCTTTAAAAATTTTACATCTCCTCATGAAGCTTCATCTCATATCACGAACCATTTTTAAAAATATATAAACTAATTAGGAACAATTTATTGTTAATAATTTTGCATAATTCATAACATGATCATCATTTTTTGCCCAACTACTCATATATACAACATTACTTGACGATCATTTTACTTCAAACATATGTTGATTTATTCAATTCTTTTTGTTAATTGCCCCTAAAGCCATTCTTCGTAAACATAACATGCCCAAAATAAATTAAAAATAAAATAATGATGAGAAACATTTAATAGGAAAAATTAATTTGAGTGAAAAATATATCTCAATTGATGATATATTGAATAACTTGCGTATCTTGGAGCCCGAATCTTCTGAAATATTTCATCTCAACAAACTTCAGTGTCATTTTTACACTATTTCTAACTCATCACATTATTTTCCACAAATTTGTCTATCACACCATATTATTTATGTATTTATGTATTAAAACATCCATTTCACTTATCATGATTAAGTTTGCTTATTACAATTCTTTTTTACATCCATATTATTTACTTTATGGGTTCAATGTTTATAACATATTTTGTCAATTTTCAAACGCCAATTGAATTTCATGCATTTTTCTAAGACTGCAATGAGTGTGTGTGTGTGCGTGTGTATGTGTGTGTGTGCGTGCGTTTGTGCGTGAATAAAGTTTGTTAAATATTTTTCCCGTTATGTTTATGGTTTATGCAGTTTAGGTTGTTTATGTTTTCTGTCAAAGCGTTACAGCTCGACATGCATATATTAATTTTTTTATGACCAGGAAGCTCTCACATTTCTACTCAGATTTATGCCTTTTTCTTTTTTATGTTCTTAGGTGATTTTCAATTTGTGCGAAGATGAAATAGAAAAAATAAGAGCTTATTCCTATTTTAGGTATCACTTGCTATTTGAACAAAACTTGTTTGTTAAAAAAATATATGATGCTTACGTAATATTTTAAAAAAGTTGAAAAAAATCAAATAGTTGGGAGAGGATTTTTAACTAAAATCATAAAAAAATTTCGTTCGTTATACTTGAACACAAACATTTAGTTTATGCTCAGATTTTCAAGCCACATTTCAATCCATTAAATAAGCATCAAAGATCAACTGATCAAACGACCGAAAAACCATTTCCGTTCGAACTTTTCCACTTTTTTAAAGTTTTAAAAACAATAAAAATATACATTAAAATTGAATTTTTTGATTCAGCTTCTTCTTGTCAATATTTCTTTATTATATGTATTCAAACTATTTTTTCTATCGCGTTTTGATGTCTTGTGCTGGGTTGTTCTGTGTTGTTCTGTGTTGTGTTCAATTCGATGCTGCAAGTTAGTCGGTTGTTATATTGCACGTTTTTTGCTGTGCCGTGTTGTTGTTGTTGGTGGTGGTCGGTCGGTTGATGGTGGTCGGTCGGTTGGTTGGTTGGTCATTGTTGGAAAATAATGGTGACTATTTAAATTAATTGCTTATCGGCTGTTTTAACAAAACAGCGGAGCGTTGAAAGAATGCTGTTGTATGGTCGTGTTTTAGTCTTTTTATGTTGTTGTGATGTTTTGCAGTTTTACTCACCATGACGTTAATTTAATTATAACGTTAATTTGTTATTCTATTTACAATTCGATATATGCAAACTGTTAATCAGATTTTGGGTCAGATGTTGGCTCTGATTAGTTGGAATGATGAACTGTGCGTGAGTTTATGCACGTGGCGATGAATTTTAACGAGTTAACGATCGTTTGGTGGAATGGAGCTATGGTAAACGCTGTTGGAACTAAATTGATGGTGTTGAAAACGAAGAAGGGTCTGATGATGATGACTGTGAAGACGATGATGAGATGATAATGGATGATGATGATGATGATGAGTAGATGGTTGTGATGATGTTGGGAGACAAAGATAATAAAGTCGTTTGTAAAAAGAAGATGGTGGTTAAGATGTGATGATGATCTACGGAAATATGTCGGCGCGTTTTATTTAAACTACACAATGATTATAAAAAAAAAGTAAAAATATTATTAGTGAATTTTTAGATTTTGTTGAGATGACGATTGTTGAAGCAGAGTCTCTGACTATGAGCAGCAGCAATGGAACGGCCATGCTCGTCGTTGGTTGTCGGACATTAGAGGCATAATTTGCGTCACTTCTTACATGCACAGGCATGAAGCATCCCATCATAAAGTGCATTTCTGCATCGTGTAAATAGCCTGTATAATTGGAAAGCAATGAAGTGTGCATGTTACAAAGGCTCGTACACAATCATCCAAGGTGTCTGACTGAGAGCTCACGACGAATGCGAGTTACTTATGTGAATGCCAATATTTTCTAATTATTATTCTTATCACTAAATGAAGCACTATCTTTAGGACAGTAGGGCTGTTCCGGACTAAAAGTGTTGTGCGCCGCAGTTATATATGCCTGCTCGCTAAATATCCTACGAGCATATTTTATGTGACGGTATCTTATTTTAGTACGGACCAAAACTTGCTGCGAATTTTTTTAAAACGTATTTCGTATATTTATGTTGGAAGAGTGTTATGCTTCTATTCTGGTATCTTAGATGTTCATCTATGTTGTGTATCTGTGCGATAATGTACAGGCACTGCTTGCATCCATGTTTTGTATTTGCCATGCTTATCTCTGCTCGTTCTACTCTTTGAATGTACATGTGGAGTTTGTGTATACTGGTTGTGTGGATGCTGGCAATATATACTGCATGTTTCTGATGTGCACATTTTATTCCTCTGTATGATTTTTATTGTGCATGATTGGATGTCTAATTTGTATATACGACTTGTATATATGATTTGTATGTATTATTTGTATATGAAACTTGTATGTATGACTTGTAAGTATGAATCGTGTTTATGATTTGTATCTGTGATTCACATATATGAGTTGAATGTTTTGAATGCCTTGCATGTATAATTTGTGTTTGTAATTTGAATGTATAATATATATATATATATATATATATATATATATATATATATATATATATATATATATATATATATGTTGGTAATAGACCATAATTTTTACAATATTCTATAAATTCTACCGAATGTTTGGCGTTAATATGTTTGTAGTTTCAAACGAACTACAAACATAACGCTAAACATTCGGTAGAATTTATAGAATATTGTAAAAAAAAAAATATATATATATAATTACTTTAATAAATTATATATATTACTTTAATGATTTATGATTTGTAAATATAATTTGTATACATGACCTGTATGTATGATTTTTATGTAAAATGTTTGTAAAATTATAAAAATATATTGTATATATGATTATTATAAATGATTTGTTTATATTAATTAATGGTATATGAAATTTCATTACATTTCATTTTATTGATAAAAACCAGAATTTTGCAAAGCTTGTACGACAGTCATCAAACATAAAAAATATAAATAATAAATAACTAAATATGTAAATATAATGTCTATATGATATATATATATGTATATATATAAATGTGTGTGTGTGCAGTTAGAATTATGATTAGTTTGTATTGTATAGTGTGCAAATATGTATGTGTGTTTTTGTTGTGTATATGTTGTTTTCGTTATTATAAAATGTTCATGCTGTCCGTGCATGATGTGTTGGAATTTTCATTGTGTGCATTAAAAAGTGTACTTAGGCATATGTTGTGTCGCTGTGTTGTGTTTTTACGTTGTGTCTATGCTGTATCTCCATGTTGTGTCTCCATGTTGTGTCTGTGTTGTGTCTGTGTTGTGTCTGTGTTGTGTCTCTATCTCGTGTCTTCATGTTGTGTCTCTATCTCGTGTCTTCATGTTGTGTCTCTATGTTGTGTCTGTGTTGTGTCTCCATGTTGTGTCTCTATGTTGTGTCTCCATGTTGTGTCTCTATGTTGTGTCTCCATGTTGTGTCTCCATGTTCTGTCTGTGTTGTGTCTGTGTTGTGTCTCTATGTTGTGTCTTTATGTTGTGCCTTTATGTTGTGTCTCTATGTTCTCTTTCTATGTTGCGTCTATATTGGGTCTCTATGTTGTATTTTCATGTTTTGTCTTTATGTTGTGTCTCTACGCTGTGTCTTTATGTTGTGCCTTATGTTATCTCTATGTTTTGTCTTCATGTTACGTCTTCATGTTACGTCTCCACGTTGTGTCTCTATGTTCTGTATCTGTTGTGTCTTCATGCTGGATCTTTATGTTTTGTTTTTATGTTGTTTCTCTACGTTGTGTCTTAATTTTGTGTCTCTATGTTGTGTCTCTATGTTGTGTCTCCATGTTGTGTCTTTATACTGTGTCTCTATTTTTTGTCTCCATACTGTGTCTCAGTTGTGTCTCAATGTTGTTTCTCTATATTGGGTCTCTATGTTTTGTCTCTATGTTGTGACTTTATGGTCTGTCTATGTTTTGTCTCTATGTTGTGCCTAAGTTGTGTCACTATGTTGTGTCTCTATGCCGTGTTTCTACTCTCTATGCTGTGTCTCCATGTTATGTCTATGCTGTGTCTCCATGTTGTGACACCATGTTGTGACACCATGTTTTGTCTTTATGAGGTTTTCCACCTTTGTGTTTTTATGTTTTTCCAACATCATGTACCCATGTTGTTCATTTTGGTTATGTATGCACGTTTTTGGTTTTTGTGGTCTGAATTTATAAACTGTTGTATTTGCCTATTCAATTTATTTATTTATCTGTTTGTTTTTTAAATTGTTCTAGAACTGTTAATAAATTCATTATATGGAACGAGCTGTATATAAATTTTCTATACAACTGTGACATGGATAATTCCGCAGTTTTTCTTATCAATGTTTGATTTTTTATTATAAGCATTATTATTACTGTTACTATAAGTAATGCTACAACATCAGCAACTGAAAAATTAATAATAATAGCACAAATAATAATAATAATAATAACACCAACAGGCATCTTCAAAAGTTTCCAGTTCATGTTTGATTCAGCAGCTCTTGGAAGGAGCGTCCAAAATTAAGTGCTCTTTGAGGAATTATTTTTATCGTGCAGTAGGCTTCTCATTTTCATAAGCTGTAAGTTTCCTACATGTGGTGCCTTTAAACAAATCCCAACGTCTGCATACTTAAATGCTATTGAGTTGCTTCCTTGCTAACGAAATGTTAATCATGTTTTGAAATTGGTCGAAGTCGGTAGGAAAGGGAAAGTTCTTGCTGAAGTCGGACATTTTGGAAGTCGTATGAAGTCATATATTTTTCATCCAAGTTTGATTTCAATTTTCAAAAAGGGCTGAAAATTCCAACAAATTTTTCATTTCTATTCTAAAATGATTTTTCAACATCTTGTTTTTTAGAAGATACACCATCATTTGAAATGGTGAAACTGGATGGCACTAAACGTGTTGTAGTTGCATGGAACAGTCGTGTTGATGCAGTTTCATGTACCTAATGGTTATGTTGTAGCAAGGTTTTGTATTCTAAACTAAGCGAAACAAAACTAGTGAGATGTTCTATTCTATTCTCTTTCGATACTTCAAACATTTCATTCAGAGTTTAATTTTTGATAAACAATTTCTGTTTTTACTAACATATTCCACAATCTATGTCCGTTTATTTTTTTATCATTCATTTTAATCAAAATACACCCAAGATTGAAAAAAGTCACCCTAAATATCCTATTTAATTAAACCACTTTTACAATAGCGGAAAATGTATTAGTTCACAATTTTATTACTCTTTTGAAACTGGCCAACTATGGAAATAACATTTTTGCTACGTAACAAAATGAAATAAACGACTTCGCTTATTCAGTTCCAACAACAATGCCAACAATTTAAATAACTATCTTCCAGTATATTTTAAACCACGAATTTAGATTAAATACATAATAATAATAATAGTAATAATAATAATAATGAGAAGAAGAAGAAGAAAAAAAGAAGAAAAAGAAGAAAAGAAGATGGAGAAGAAAAAGAAGAAATTAAATCAACTAATTTTAAATTATTTTTTAGCAACACCCTGGTGATAATGGCACAATCTGAATTTAGATAATATTAAACAGCATACAGGTCAACAATCATTTAAAATTAAAATCAATTTTTATGAAAGCAACACAAAGTGATGGTTATAACAAAAATAATAATTATTATTATTATTAAAATAAAAAAAGTTGGTGATGCCTATCGCTGATTGGATAGAAATGTTTGCGAGGTGAATGACAACCTAAGATGATTGAGCTGGCAGTAAATATATTACAGGATTATAAATTTTGTAATCAAAGCATAATTAGATGAAAAACTGATAAATTTTGAACTTTGTCATAGGCTTGCATATGATAGCACGATCAATCGAGAGTGAAGATGATTTGTGTTAGTCAACGTTTAGGTGGCTGCAAAGGATGACAGCTGCAGGCAAATTGGCCCAGTGACACCAGGAACCTGCAGTGTTCAGTTCATGCTAGAAGATTCCAAACTGTAATTTACATGATATAACGTGTGCACAACATTGTTTTGTTATCATCAAATAAGGGGTGAAGAGTTTTTACTTTTTAGGTGGAGGTGGAAAAATTAAAAAGATGAATGGGTATTTGAAGAATTTTTTGAATAAACTCAATATGGTAGAAGAAAATTTTTCAAAACATTTTTTTTATAAAAATAGTTTGTTTCAGGAAGATTTGATTCAGTAAAAGTTGATTCGTGATTTACAAGTAGTTGCAAAGAACAATTTTTGTCAAAAATTTTATGATTTAATAAAGCAAGGAAGTGATGTCTTTTTATATCAGTGTTTTTGTTCACTTTATGGCAATCGTAATAATTAAAAATAATATTGTGCAGTTGTAATATTTTAAATTATTGTTAAAAATTGTTTGTGCATTACGATCGCACCTGTATTTTAGTAATAAAAATTGGCATAATTTTTGATGAATAAATCTAAAAACAATAAATCTGGAACCAATCCATAAATCGGCCAACTGATCTTCATTTGCTTGTCCAAAATACATCATCATCGGCACGATCAAGTGATTTATTAATTCGATGTTTAAAAAATTCAGTTGCGCTAAATCAAGGAAAGATTAAAAGTTATTTTCGAAGAAGAGTTTGCAGCCAGCATTCAACAGTCTCTTGGGAACCACCTCAAGATGGAGACTTCCCAGCTGAGATTCCAGATGAAAGAAATTTCTCTGCTTTTATAGTTTTAATTCATTTTTTTAAAGAATCACATGAAATTGAAATATGTTTGTAGTACGAAGAAAAAAAAAGATTATAAATGAATAATACGTTTCATATTCGAGGCGTGTATGATAAGCAGTTTTTCTGTAAATGAAATCACTTCATCTTCTGTTTGTGTGATTGTTTTCACAAGTTTATGCAATGCACGAATATTTCGATATAATTATTCAATCAATTAATTATTTAATCAATTAATCAATTTAGCAGAATGTTAACAATGATTTGTCAATATTTTTAAATCACTTCATATTAAAGTAGTAATTTGTATTATAGTAATAACTATATTTCATCATAAAATAATGTAAAATAATAATTATTAATTTTAAAAAACTCTTTATAATACCCACACAAACACACACACACCTATACACATACAAAACTGCACACATATATAATTATATATATATATATATATATATATATATATATATATTTAAATTTAATTTTAATTAGCGCTCTGTAAATATAATAATAATAATTATAATTTATAATAATAATTATTATTTATAAATAATAATAATAAAATATTCATAAAGCTTGTGTATTTTAGGGGTACTTACAATTTACTATTTAGTAATTATTAACAACAACAACAGTGCCAACATGTAGATACCAACGCCACAACCCACAGGGCAAATATCACTGGCAAATGGAACATCATCACAAGAAGCAAGAAGAACCACAGCGATGATAATGTAAACTCTTTTATTATTCAGACCAGTAAAATCATAAATAATCAAAATAAAATATGTCAATAAAATGTTAAAATTAGTTAAATATAATTAAAATGATAAAATAATATGAATAGTCATCAAGTGAAATAAGTGCCATGGCGATAGCTTGTATAAAAATTGGTAACAGTTTGTTCACGTATTGTTTCTATCGCAGTACAAAGCATAAGATGACGATATTACACTATTGATTAAGCTATATCGAAAATTATCAGTCCAATTTATATCGATTAGAGACAGAATAAAAGGATTATAAAAACCTATAGGCGATATTTCAAAAGTTTTAATTAAAATATTGAAATGTTTAAAATCATCTACAATATTATTTTTTAAATTATTTAAGTATTTATTTTATATTGTTTTGATTTCATAAAGTTTGTTTCATGGCACACGGTCAGTTCGAGTATTTCAATAGTATCTTCGTTACAGACTGCGATGTCGGGTCGGAGTGATTTGAACAGATCCGTTACTGGACGCACCAAATCTTTTTCTACGTCTGCAAATATTTCGATACCCGGCCTTGCATTTGCTTTTATGTTATCAATAATTATTGTGAGAATTTTGTTGTGGCGGTTTAAATATCTGCTCAGTGCAGAGGCGGAGCCACAATTTGATAGGACATGTTTGTTTGTTTGTACTGCATTACAAAGCAAACATGATGCTTTAGTAGATTTACCCCACCTGAAGAGGTTAGCATTAGTAGGTAGCTGTTGAATAAGATATTTTTCTGGTGAATTTATAGAGGACCTCTGATAGTTTTACAGTTGACCTGGACCATCGTGTTATCTCGGAGCTATTGATATGCTCTTTTATTGACCTCACAAGAGCACCTTGGCATCGCAACAGCAATAGATGATTGAAATTCGTTTCATATTGTTGTTGTTGTAGGGAATTTATTGCTGATTCTATTCCATCATTTTTTGGAATGAGGTCGTCAATCTTTCTGTAGGAGTTATGAGATTCATTCCACAGCAGTCTTATTTCCTCGGCGTGTTGTTTCAGCAATTTGATGTTGAGGCCCCCAGTTTTATACGGCATCGAGATAACTTCAGCGATGCAGCTGCTTATGGGCAGAGACAGCCATTCTCTTACTGCCTCTATTAAAAGGCGGTCCAAAGTGCATTCTATCCAGGTCAGCAACATATCAGGTTCGTAATTCAAATGTTATTTGAGAGGGGATAAAACGTCTGAGAGTTTCTAGCTTCCATTGAGCAGTCGTGTCCAGTTATCCAATTTTCTGAAGCAAAATTTTGAGTTTATTACATAATTCATTTTTCTCTCTGGTGTTTTTCCCTTCAAAATTGTACATTATTCCCAAGTATTTAAATTGATCGTTGATATTCACATGGGGAATTTTTTCATCGTTTATTGTTAATTGGGGTAGAAATTGTTCATATTTTCCATTGATTTTTCTCATTCCAAATGTACTACATTTATCTATTCTCATTTTCATACCTGCCCATTTACACCAGGCTTGGTTGAGATCGATAAACTTCTGGGCACCCTCAGAACTGCTAGCAATGATTGCTGAGTCGTCAGCAAATTGAAGCCAACCCCTAGATTTTAGTTTGGTTGTAGGTCCCCATATATATCCGCACTGCTGGTATTCCCTTGCTTCGACTATTTTCATCAGAGGATTAAAACAAAGATTGAAGAGCAATGGAGAGCTCGGGTCACCTTGTAGGACCCCCCTTTTTACTTGGATAGGCGAGGTTAGTTTGTTGCACACCGATACAGTTATCGAGTAGTCGGCGTATATTGATCTAATCATGTTGCTGATCTGACTTGGGATGTGGTGATAACTTAAAGCAAATGAAATTAGATCATGGCTAACCTCACCGAAAGCATTTCGTAAATCTAATAGGGTAACAATAATTGTTCTCTGATGTCTTTTGGCGTTTTTCAGCAGATGAGACAGCAGCTGCGTGTGTTCAACTACACCATCAACTTTGGGATAGAAGCCCTTTTGAATATTTTTATTGATGAAATTATTTGAATCCAGATATTTGTATATTCTATTGTTTATGAACGTGGAGAAAATTTTAAAGAATACTGGTTGAAGTGTTATTGGCCTGAAATTCGCTGGGTCGTTGGCATCTCTCTTTTTGTAAATCAGAATTGTCAGCCCTTTTCTCCAGCAGGAGGGAATCGATGACGTTCTCCAACATTCAACCAGTAACTGATGAAGGATTGTGTGGAGTATTGGACATTTTTTGAGAACTATTACTGACATCTGGTCCAAAGGGCAAGGAGATGCTCTCCAATTGCATTTCCGGATAATTGAAGAGATTTCATTAAACGTGGGAGGATTGGTATCACAGGCTATTGAAGGGTTTGGTAATGTTTTAATCCAATTTGGTAGGGAATGTTTATTGCAAGATTGATCGTTTAAAATGTTGTTGAAAAATTGTTTACATTTGTCGACGCCAAACTGAGGTAGCAAATTAGGCGTCGGGTTGAATAATTTTTCACACGTCGCCCAAAATTTGTGTTTTAATTGGTTTGTGATATTAAGTGTTTTTTCAAGTTTATTTCGTTTTGTTGATGCTATCCTTGATCTTATTTGTTTGCTTAGCGTTTTAATTTGAAGGTCGAAGTTGTGGTTGTTACGGCCTAGCAGCTTTAGTTGTTTCAGTTCCTTCTTTAGTTTGTTGATTGGTTTGTCGAATATTGTTGTTGAATTTGTTTGTTGTTTAATTGTGCCGTAGGTTGAAGCAAAGTAGTTGTATATTGATGACTGGAAATTGATGGTGAAGTTATCAATGTCGGTGATGTTTGGTAGAGCTGATCTTTGAGAATGGAAGTATGCGTTGGCCTCAGACCATTGAATTGTTGTTTTAGGTAATTTTATCCCTGGAAGTGGAGTATCTTTTATGACGGTATTTGCTGACGATGACAACGACGGAGATGTCACCTGGTGAAGCGGGGACGATGGTGGTGGTATCTCTGCCAGCGATACCCGCTGACGACGACGTCGATGGAGTCGCTCGATGGTGAGGCGGAAGTGATAGTTGTGGTAATTCTGCGGTGGTAGTGTTTGCTGGTGTCAAAATGATGGAATCATCGTTAGGGTCCTTTGGAGAATTTATCGAATTATTTAAATTTTTGAATGTTTTGCACGAACATTGGTGCATTTTTAGGCCCTTTTTACCTTTGCACTGTTTACCACAACAACAGGAAATTAGATTATTATCCATGTTAACAGAAGTATTATTTAAATTATCAACCAGTAAGTTTGGAGATATTACAATATTGTTGCTTTGTAAACGTACAATTGTTATTATTGTTGCTGCTTTGAGTTGATTTTGTACAACGCCAGGAATGGCTGCTGAGTTTAACGTAGTTTTTAAAACAGTATGGGCATTTAGTTGCATTTACTACTAAGATTGATTTAAAAATTAAAATTAAAGTAATTGAATATTTAAAATTAGAGTTATTTAGTATTAATTTATTCCCCATAATTTTCCGCTACTTTTAAACCTATTTTTACACTGTAAAACTATGTAAAACTCGATTAATGTAAATAAAAACAGTGAGCTAGCAAAAACCTGCCAACTCTCATGTTACAAATACATAATAATAACGTTAACAATAATAATAATAATAATAACGTTTTTAAATATTGTAAAAATAATATTAATAATATGTAGTTAATTAAATAAATTAATTCGCCCTTCTCGGCTGAGCGTTGATATTTACCTTAACAACCATAATATAAACAATCTTGCCGTTAAAATTTTAAAAATCGCGTTTTATATTGTTTATAGTTATTAAATTTATTTTATTGGTTTTCTGTTTTAATTAAATAATTTATGTAAATTAATAATTACTTGTTCCTTCTTATCAAATATCTTACATACCTTATATATAATGCACTGAAGATGAGTTATCTATATTTCTCTGAAATTAATAAATTAAAAAGAAATATAAAAAGTTGAACAATGTTGAAAGTAGTGCTGAATTTTTGAAATTATATATATATATATATATATATTTAAATTTAATTTTAATTAGCGCTCTGTAAATATAATAATAATATTAATAATAAATAATAATAATAATAAATTCATAAAGCGTGTGTATTTTAGGGGTAATTAAAATTTCGCAATGGAAAGAATTTACACGTGCCTTGTTTTCGTTAAAAAGCTGTTAACTTTTGAACGGCGTTCATCGCTTCCGACCAGCACATCAATTGAATGTTGCTTGCTGGAAAGAAAATTTATTCATCTACCAGTTTAAAAAAGTGTTCCAACTTATCTATATGGCGTTTGTTCAGTATTTCCAAATGATCCCGGTCCAACTGACACACAACTTCATATCTGCTTAAATAGAGATTGTAAAATCTGTTTCTTTACCAATTAAATCAGTCAATTTATAATCAACGTTTGTTCAACCAGCTGATTGAGTTGCAATTATGAATGGCGCTCTCCCGTGCATCAAATTAAATGAAGCTTAGTGTCAGAGCGAATTTTCGTGGTCATCATTAAATCCACGATTTTTTTTTCAAGAACTCTAATTAATTTTTTTAATTATATTATTAATTTACGTGAACACAATCAAGAAGACATAGCATATATATTTAAAATATTAATATGAATAATAAACTGAATAATTTGGTTTTATGGTAAAAATTTAATAAGCAAATAATTAAATAAATGAACAAACCGTTTCAAAAAATTATTTTTAATGAAACGACTGATTGATTATATTTCCAATTACATTTTTTGAAAAAACGGTTTTACAAAGCAGCAAATGCTGTATCAGTGTCCTCAAATAAAGCATACATATAATTTAAAACCCACAGTGTCAAATAAAATGAAACCCATTAACCCCATCAAAGACAACATGAAAAAACACACAGACAACAACACACTCGATTCAAGACTGCTCAATAAAGTAGAAAATAACATCATCCATCCTCTACTTCCACCAATCAAAACTACTACACACAACCTTCGTCAATGCAAGCATAACTATCAAGTCGCCACTCAATCAACTTATCAGGATAAGACCTTCATCACGAGACACCTCAAACTATTAGCAATCAATAAAACTTTATCATTAATTCAATCTAGTTTTCTATTTATCTTATCGATCATCAAACTAACTTATTAAGTCATTAACTAGTCCAATAGACCATTACTTTATTTTATTTTCTGTATTAGCTTAAACTTTATTTTCTCAGTTATTTTTTTTGTTATCAATTTATACTATTGCCTGGCATGCTGCAACAGTTTCTGCGTTCAATCGATCAATCAATCAATCAATCAATCATTCAATCAATCAATCAATTAGTTTATAAAGCTCTATTTCCGCGATGTTCAACAGCGCCCCTCAATGAATTTTGCAAACAGAAGGATTTTGAGATCCGCTCTGAACTTTGTAAGTGATGGAGAAGTAGTCAGAGAAACAGGTAGAGAGTTTTAGAGAAAAGGGCCAGAAATCGTCAAATTCTGATTTTTTAAATAATAATAAAAAATTCTGCAAGATTAAAACTAAAAAAAAACTTAAGTTGGATATCGACCAGACACATTCTGAACCAACCCCACCACTACGCAGCATCAGCCACTCACGCTTACTAGGAAGCCAGCTCAAACGAACGATGCTGTGATCGAGTGATTTCTCAACCAATCACTAATCTGTTACCTCACTTTAGCTAACACCACAGTCATGTGTAAACATGAACATAGAAACCCTCACCACTCCAATGAAGTTTAGACAAACCCACACCGCTTTATTGCGCATCATGCACTAGATCTTCTTCATTTAACGTGAAGAACAAAACGCCACTACCCAAGGGACCTGTCACATAATCACACGCACACATCCAAATCACACACATCTACTGGTTATGCATGCACTGCACATACATAATCATGTACTTATGTGAACAGGTTGTGTTTTTTCTTGTTTATATGCTTGTCAGATCAGGAACATCAGCCATGGCATCAACCGGCTCAGTCAGCCCCCCAGAAAGCATGCATGACCACCAGATGGAGAGCAGCAACCAATCTCACCAACAAACCACAGAACGGAAAAATAATAAAAAATATCCTTAATGCTAAAATTTTGGTAAAGTTAGGACATGAGAAAAATATAATAAGAAGAAAAAACATGTTAAATCTAAAACATTAAAAATATGTGCAGGCTGGTTAAAGAAAATATTTTGAAAATGAAAATGAAAACAGATTAAAAGTTGGTGGTTTGACAACATTAAAAAAAGAAGAACAAGAGGAGATTTGATTGAGGCATACAAAATCATCACCATAAAGGATAATTTGGAATCAGTGACATATTTTGAGCTTAGGATGAACAGTAAAACAAGGGGGCATAAATAAAAGATTTTTAAAAAAAACTCAGGACCGATAAAGAACCAGCTACGTGTTGTCAAAAAGTGGAACAAGCTGGGAGATGAATGAATATGCGCAAAAACAATTAATAACTTTAAAGCAAACTTGGCAAAAATAGGATATTAAAAAAATCTCAGAGTGATCCTGTCACAGACTCAGTCTTCTTGGATTACTATAGAAAATCTTTGTTATGTTATGTGATGTAACAAGCTGCAGCCTAACATGCAGAAGACGAGTGATAAAACAAACAATCTAATCAAATGGCAAAAATGACTAAAAACTTATTTTTTATAATGGCGACGACATTTACATACGAAATTCATGTCCACGGAGGGAGGATAGGAAGAAAAATATGCTGATTTCATACGTATTTTTTAGGTGTTTTGTTTTTGAAATGTGATTGAATATGTTTGAAAGCCAAAGCAAAAATTATTTTTCATTGCCAACAAAAATCCACATCAAATAAAATAAAAACACGTTCTAGAGTTGCGTATCAAATTGTATTTGCTAGAAATTTTTCAACAGGAGGATTCTTGGAAACCATTTGGTGATCTCCTCAAAATTTCACAAAACTGCGTGCACTGCTGACTCAGGCAACAAAAAGCAATAATGAACGTTTCAATTGTTTAATTTAATAGTCTTCAACAAGCGCCAGAGTGCAATTGCGCATTATAAGTTCAATATATTTTTTGAGATTTTTCTGTACATATTAACCAACGCATGTTATATCACGGGATTTTAAAAAATACATGCAGCAGTATTGGAGTCGTCAACTTCCCATCCTGGTACCTGGTATTCGAAGCTTCTTTGCAACCGAGTATGCTTTACAAAAGTTTTACCATACGAAACTCTGTGTGTGCTATCGGTAATGAAAATTTACATTATTTATATAGCGCTGAATTGGTTCATGTATTATAGGTATGAAATGTATTATTAATTCTAGCTTAAATTTATTTTTATATATCGACATTAAAATTTCTAGATTTTGATTGCAGAATGATAAAAATATTTTCATTGCCAAACTTAATCTGACTTTAGACAAAATTGTCATCGTATGAGCTTTAAAACGTGAAACGCATCATGTTTTAATTTTCTTTTAATGCCTGAGATTATCGTATGAAAACTGAATGCGTATGTGGGTGGGTTGTGTGGGTGGGTTGTGTGGATGAGTTAAACGAGAAATAGTGAGATGTATGAAAATGTTGGGAATGCTAACATTTTATTAAATCTATAACATATGGTTATTCGAATTTGGATTAATACTGGATAGATTTAGAAATAAACATATTACACTTTTAAAGGTCATCTAACCCGCTTCTACAGAAATTTAGGAAGCTGACTGCTCATTGAGGTTAATTTTTGTAAAGACAAAAAAAAACTTAAAAGTTATAACCGTATACAAAGTAAATTTACAAAATATTTTTTAAATTTTAATTTCATTGTACATTTCAAAATTTTTTTAATTTGTTTTATACTGACAAGCTTCAAATTTTCCAATAAATAATGAATAGCATGTTCACAACTGCCAAAACGTCAATAATTCTCACGTTTAAAATCATACTTTCTAAATCATTCAACATTGTTTAAAACAGCTGGACTGTATGCGGCCCGCCAACCCTGTACGTGGCTCAGTTCTCAGAAAATGACATTTTGCCTTTTTGCTTTATTTTCCCCTTTTTTTTAAACACTTGTCTTTTGTCATCTTGTCACGCGATATTTTATTTTTCAATTTTTTCACCTGCACCAAGCCAGCTAAAATTTTCGGGGTGTGTGTGTCAATTAGGGTTAATTTTACTTCTAATTAATTACACAAAATTAATTCAATTTTATGAGAATAACTGACCTCCCGAGCTTGCATTTTAATACAATTTTTAAAAAGAAACGGGAAATTTGAAAATGTTTTTCAATGAATGAGGCGAGTAAGATGTAAGAGTAAGATGAGTCGAGAAACTAGGCAAGAATGAATCAGCAGATCAGCAGACTTAATAAAATAAATAAGTTAATAAATATATTGAAATAACAAATGTAAACAATAAGCACTAATGAGAAATAATAAATTTTTTAATTTAAAATTTTTTAAAGTGTGTTATTGTTACTGTTACTTTTTGTCTGAGTTAAATTAAATCAAACTTTCTTCAATATTTGGTATGGCATCGGCTGAAACAAGCCCAGTGCGAGCCAGTTCTTAAGGTTTTTGAAGTTTTAATGAGAA